TTACCTGTACTGACTTGCCCACACTCTGCCTGTTATCAAGTGGTCTGAGGTCCTTTGGTAAATACAACCTTACACTGCTGATATGTGTGATTAAATTCAGTAACACTGGAACCACCTGCAAAAAGAAGTAAAACAGCCACGGAATATTAAACTTAATCTACATTTGCTATGTAGTGTCTTGGTGGTAGTTATTGGGTCTAGATTTGTTAAATGTCATGTCTACAAAAAGGCACTTATCATCCATGTTACCATGTGTATTGTGTTTACCTATCTCTTGTCTACCAAGGAATTCTACAGTTATCATACTGGATGTGAGAAGGGTGAGAACAGCTCCCATTAAATGTCCCTTACATGGGGCTACATGTTCCTTTAGGTTCAAGTGTGCCTTCTGGTACGTACCTCTGATGTCATGTAAAGTGGCAAACTAAGAGGAAATGTTTGAAGTTAAAGGGAATCAAGGACTTTGGCTAAATAAATGTACAAGCACCTTTATTAAAGGGAATCAAGGACTTTGGCTAAATAAATGTACAAGCACCTTTATTAAAGGGAATCAAGGACTTTGGCTAAATAAATGTACAAGCACCTTTATTCAAGATGTATAGCAAGACTGGAGATAGTGCTTTGGAACTTACAGCCATTTCTCCCTTCTCTCCAGCCATGGGTGGCTTGGCAGAGTCTGTGGCAGCATTCTTAATACTCTCTTTGGAACAATTAAGCAGAACTTCTGCAATATAAAGTGGGTCATCACGTGGACTGTTCATCTTTTGGTTGGCCTTCTTCCTGAAGTTAATGACGACACCCCATCCAAACTCATCAGCTTCATTCTTGACCTAGTAGGGTTTGCACAAGAACTCCAATTTGATCATGTGAAACACTGTGGCATACACTATACAACAACAAAAGAGGTTTTCCGCTGACGTTATTTTTGACCGTCAGCATTCAATTTAAACAAATGTTCGCAGACATGCCTTTGCCTTCGAAGTCTGTCAGCATTCTGGCATACTTGCACATGAAATTGCCAATAGAAATTGCAGGTTCAAAACGGATGCACTGCAGTGGACTTGGAATGTTTCCTAGACTGCCTTTGCCCGTCAAGTGACGTCACATGAAAAACCTTTATAAGCAATAAAGTTTGGATATGCAACATAATGTGTAAGGGTTTCCCCATACCTGTTTCTTTACTACTGGCCAACTGGACCAGTAGAGCCACATCTTGACTTGCCCGCAAAATGTTGACTGGTCCTCTATTTTTTGGTATTTGTTGCACAGTAAAAAAAAAACTCAAACAAAAATGCCACACCAATTTGTAAGTTAAATATGTGGCTAGAGTTGTACATTTATTGCTGCATTTTATCCCAAGAAACCGACACACAAAAAATAATAAAATAAGCAACCTTTAAACCTCAATTTAATCTTTATTTAACCCCAAACTAATGACAAAGAGTGTGCTAATACCACGTCGGTACGGCAGAACAAACAATAGCCAAAAAAGGTCGCTATGCATAAGTAAACAACCTCTTTCGGTAAATTCTCCGGTGTAGACCCTTTCAACCTAGTTTCTGTATTTGGAGATGATGTTCAAATATGGTAAATATAGTTTTTAGAAATTTGGACCCTTTTAATACTCTCCCGATATCCATTGATGTCTGGGTCAAATATGGTTTTGACCACTTTGCACCGGGGGGAGCCCAGTACCGGAGACACAGTGCGTGGCCCACAAGGCCGGGCTGCCCGAAATCGTAGCTCTCATTTCAGTAAAAGATAAGGTTGCTGGGCATATTAAAAAAGTTTACTTGCTGTCAATAATAAATTTTGGCAATCAGCGAAGGTAATTCCATGATTGATTTGCAACAACTGGACTGGAAAACTGGGATTTATTCACTTGGAAACAAAAGACCGAACTGCTGGGATTTGCCAATGAAGGTTCGTACAATAGCTATTAGGGTAAAGTGCGGGCCATTACCAGCGGTAATCTGTCATTGCTTTTGTCCTTTCCCAACATATATTTATATTTAAATAATCCGTCATTGTTTTGAAACAGTATCATAATCTGCCGCTGCCAGTGAATTGTACGCACGGACAAAAGTGCTTGCTCCAGTGACTAGCCATACAATACCTCTGAGCGCTCGTGGAATCTGGCTACATTGTGCAGCGTTCACAGTGCAGCTTCATGGCTCATGAAGCATAGCCACACCAGCCGTCCAGCATAGCAATGCACTGGGCTAATTCCCAGAACAAAGAGGAAATTATTCAACACTGCATAATGGGGACTCTTTACTGGGCAGCATGCATGGCTGCAATACTTGCATATCAATGGAGGTTCCTGTCAGATTAGAGTGGTCACAGGAGCATCATTCTTTTTTGAGTGTGCAAGTAAATGAAGATATGAATTTTTGAAGAATTTTGAAAGCAGAAAAAAATGAAAAAGCCTCTAGCCCAGCAGCCTGAGTATCAACGTGCCCAGCAGAAAGTGGTTAAACCACTGTGTTGTGTACCTGAAAGTGGCACTGACCCTCACGTTGGGCACTTTGAATTTTTGCCTCTAATGTTTATTGGAGCAATATTTTACTTCAAACTTCAAAAACGTGAAATTTATTCAAACTCCAAATATTCTGATTCATAAATGTCTATTTCATATACCCACTACAAAGTTCTGATGAAATTTTATTTTGTCCTCATTTTCCTATTTTTCTGAAGTGCAAAATATAAGTTTTTAAGTGCGCCACGTAATACTCTACAGGTACAAGCGCTTTAGCAGTGCAGCACTTGTGATGACTTACTTAGTTACACATTGGCTTATAAGCGCATGGGGCTAACATACCGACCTTAAACCTTAATTTGCAGATTTTTACTTGCTGCAGCAAATACTCCGCATGGCCAATATTCTGCAAATTACGGCAATTCAACAGCTGCTGTAAATGCCGTCATAAGTGAAATTTTGATGGGTCAAGGGCAAAAGTTGGCACTGGTTTTAACTGGACCACTTCAAGGAGGGTTTGACTAGTCCACAAAAATGTTGACTGGAATTTGGCCGCTGGACCAGCGTTATGTTCAAACACTGTAAATGACTTTTGAGGAATGAATACGTAAATATTGCTGACCTTGACTAGCCGTCCAGGTTGTAGGAATGGCAAGCAATACTTGGGCTTAGTAATGAAGGCTTGTATCTCGCGTCCCAGCTTGTTGAGTTGTTGTCTGATCTTGTAGTAAGCCTCCACACTCTCTTCCTGAGGGATCTCCATTTGATTGTATTCTTCCTCAAGTTTCTTCAATTCTGCATATAAGAAAAGTCACAGACAAAAGAGACAAAATAAACAAAGCTAATTACTGGAATAACTAACCAATGAGGCAAAGCAAAAATTGATTATATTGGGTCTTCACATTTCATTGGTCATTTCATTGGTGTAAGGCAGTCCCATACTGTGTATGGAAAAATGAATATCTCTATTAATGTCATTCTAATATCACCTCTACATTGAATGTATGACATGCACACACACAGAAAAGCTTATTACAACAGATACTGGTGCAAGTACAGTCAGAGGATTCCAAAGTGCGTTACTCCAACACTGATCATTCTTGAGCATTCTTCACTCAGTAATCTTCAAGACACAGGATTACTTATGCTTTTTCAAAGTCTTAGGCGTACACTTTTCCATTTCAGGACTGAATCACAGGCTAATCTGTTTCAAAGTGAAATGTGATTGAAGAACTTTTCATAGCCGTTTCAACTCAGAAAGTTAGGAGATGAAGTTCCTTCATGGAGTTTGAAGGGATAACAAGTCTTTCATCTAATGTGTTAACTAGGTGACCACATTAATGACGCATGATATCACATTCTCAGTCGGGCACTGCTGACAGACAGCTGGATTATCACCTTTAATCGTGAACCTCGTAGTGTCTATAGTATCCATTAATTTTGTGATTTTTTCTGTGGACCTTATAAAGATCCAACTGAGCACCCCAAATGTCCTCTAATGTCCTTGAGTAAGAAGCCAACTGAGCACCCCAAATGTCCTCTAATGTCCGTGAGTAAGAAGCCAACTGAGCACCCCAAATGTCCTCTAATGTCCGTGAGTAAGAAGCCAACTGAGCACCCCAAATGTCCTCTAATGTCCGTGAATAAGAAGGTTAAGCTAACACTTGCAATACAGACATTATTTTAAGAATAGGAAACAAATAGACGCCACAAACACTCTGACTAATCTGACTGTCAATGTAAAGGTACAGCAGAAATGGGATCAATAGTTTCCGTAAAACAGAACTAATATTTTCTGATAACTTACTGTCAAAGAGTTCTGGGATGACAGAATAGTTCTGGAACTGATGGAAAGACCTTTCCAACATGTATTCTGGATTGATGCCCTCTACTCGCAGTAGATTGAGAACCATGTTGTATGTCAAATGGAAGGCACTGTTTAGAGGATCTGGCTGGCCCTAAACGCACACACAAAATGAAAATGAGTATATTGAATAGCAAAGATGAAATACATACTGCAGCACAAAGAATTTGTTTAAATAGTCTTTGATTTACAGCCTTCAATGGCTCCCTCTTGTCTGTTTTACGGAGTGTCGCCTTGGTCCTTCGCAATTGTAATGTACTAATATGCAACTGTTATAACGGATGGATCATTTTTTTTCTGTTCCCATTATGAACAACAGGATGGTGCACTATTTTTGTAACTGAGTACTGATCTGTTACCCAGGTCACTTTCAGTTTAGAATAAAATATACTTCCAGTTTGTCAAATACTTAGTGTGAAAACAATGATTGCTCTGTTGTTCAATAGACATCTCTGTACCCAAAAACAATCCTCGATTGAAGCCATGTATATGAACCAGTAACTTCACCAAATTTCAGATTCATTTTTAAGGGAGAGTGAAAAATCAGAACCAATCAAATTTGTAATCAGAATAATTTTTCCATTACCTGCAGGATGTTCTTGCCAACTCCTGGGCTCATCTTTTCATCGATCATCAAGATAACGATGCCTTTGTCATCTAAACCACGCCTCCCAGCCCTCCCACTCATCTGAATGTACTCCCCTGATGAAATCTAAATAATGGTTTAAAACAAGATCATTTCAACAATAATAATCAGTGCTTTTTTCTGGCTTAGAATTTAAATTTAATCAAGGATTTCATCAATAACCAATGGTGTCACTTGTTACCCTGTGGTTCTTGATGAAACTTGCTTAAAGCTGCCCAACTTTAACTTGAATTTTTAATGTCAAAACTTTGTGTTCCCTCAAAAATCAGAAATGCCCCAAAATAAATACAAATTTCTTGTACCCATCTGAAATCCTTGCCATCAAACTTGCGAGCATTTGTGAAGACCACGGTGCGGGCAGGCATATTGAGTCCCATAGCAAATGTTTCAGTAGCAAACAATGCCTTGATGAGGCCCTCAGAAAAGAGAATCTCGATGGTCTCTTTAAGGATTGGTAGAAGTCCTGAGTGATGGATGCCAATGCCACGTTTCAAAAGAGGAAGAACATTTTCCACCTGTGAAAAGACAAGCCATTCTAGTGTTTGTTCCATAATTGATCAACATTGTTTTAAAAGCCCCAAAGGGTCATTCAAACTTCAGCTTGTTCCCAATTGCAGTGACAAACACTGAGAAATCACCTGTTAAATGTGAAACCAGAGTTGCAATTGAATCACAAGTCATCTTATACCATTCACAAGCCCATCACAAGTCAAGCTGTCTTCAGTCGCAAGCTTGACAAACAATCTGCGACATTCCTCTCAATCCTTTTGACACTGTTAAGACTCTGGAACTGAATTACTACCTGATTTGTAAATTGACTAACTTCGATAACTACCTTGTCTAAAACAACTAAGTTGTTGACATAACAGCTCTCTAAGTTGGCTTGAAGTTGCCATGAAATTTTTTCTTGGCCCAAAAATTTTGAGCATGTTGTGTGATATGATTTAAGACTTAACAGAACTTACATTATACATGTTTTTCATGCAACAAAGAAATCCAAACTTTTTCCATCACTTTGATACCATTACTAATAATACGTGTTCTTTCTGTAACTCTTTATTAAATACTACAAGTTCCAATTAGTAGCTAAAGCAAGTTAACCTGTGGTAATTTCTTGTCATCATCAGAGAGGCAATCGATAGCATTGTTAAAGACTTCTGTCACCAATGCCTTCTCCTCTGACGAGCTGTTGAAGTCCAGTTTGGACATTTGCATGGCATATGCCTCACACTCTTTCTTGCTGAAACTGAAGACAATGACTGGCTGAAACATCCGTTCCATGATCATCTTGACTATCTTGAAGATATTGGAGGGACCTAGTTGAATAGAAAATGGACAGAATTGACTCATCAATTTAAAGGGGAGGTGAAAACATTTTGTTCACCAAACAGCCAATGACTTTTAGTTCTACAATATTATGAAGCACTGCATGCTTTCAGCACTGCCAGAGATTAATGCAAACTATTGCTGGCTAAACCCTGCAAAACAACTCCTGTAACATGACACATCAGCCGCCCACCATGATGTCTTTCTGAAACGTATACCAGATGTCAGTGTTGGGCTTAGATGTAACAATAACCGACAGCCCCAATATGGGCGTGAATGCCGACCTGACTTGAACTGCATTCACATCATCATTCTTTAGTATAATGTACAAGCAACTCATAAAGCATAACTCAGAAAGCTTGTGAAAAAAAACATACTCAGGAGGGACTCGAACCCATCTGCACTTGTAAGCAAGAAGTTGTGGCTTCAAGTCCCACCCAAGTACGCCTCTGATTTTTTTTCACAAGCTTTCAGGGGAAACACTGAGTATACAGTTTTCCAATACATATCAGGCAGGGCAAAAAAATCCAAAATGAAATTAACATCTCCCTAACGCAAATCCATCCTTAGAAATGGGATTTTGTAATCTTATCTCTTTTGTAAGTGAGGTTTCGCTCCCTGGCAAATGGGTTTACCCAAACAAAGAGGTGTTTAATCCCCTTAATTTTTGTGTATGGTGTAGGCTCCCCAATGCAATTCTCATTACTCAAGAAAGGTATTTCCATTTTACTGTTGTTTAGGATGGGTCCACTTCTTAGCAACAACCCCGAGTAGGATCGCCTTCCACGCTTTGACCCAACCAAGCACAACGTGTTAATGTCAACCACAGAAATGAAAAAAGAATTCTTAAAACGAGTGTACACGTCCTTCATGGAAAAAATAAGGAAAATTATGTGTGTTAACACGTCATTTGGCGTCGAGTGGTTAATTGTGAGAACCAATTGAGGGCATGTGTAAGGCAATCAGAACAGACCAAATCTGTGAATTGATGCAAAAAGGACAAACAATTTAGTTCCCTCACCTAAAGTTCACTTATGCTTTTTCAGCACTAGAAGGCATGCATGAATCTCTGCAAAAGCACATGGGCCATCTGTATAAGGGGACTGTCACACACCCCTTGCCTTGGGTCTTTTATTACATACATGGACATGTAAGAATAAATGAAATGCCAATGTAGAGCAACACCATACCTTTTGTTCCCCCTTTCCGTCCCCTGTTCATTGAGTCACCCTTAGCAGCATCACCAGAATCCCTCAAGACAGACATTGCAGCACCAAAATTATCTTGACGAAACTCTCCCTGTGAGGAGAAACAAAACTGGTTTTAGGGGGGTTTGCATTTCCCTTTCAAGCATGTAATATATGAAAAGGCTTACGCGCATGAATAATTCAGGTTGTACAAAAAGCTTATTTGTTAAAACATGCTACAGCAAAATGCATGTCCTCTTCCCTTATACTTCACTCAACAATGCAAGCATACACAGTACAAGCACAGTAGGGAAGTGGTACTAACTTTTTCATCAACAACCAGATGCAGTCCATCACCACCCGCAGGAAAGATGTAATGCTGCAAAGGTACTGGCCTGTACTCAGTGTACACAACATGGCAAGGCTGCAAGAAATCATGCCAAGACATGAGTAGTTGTAAAGATTATTTCCAACATAGCTATATGTATAATTGCCTTTCAAAGAGGAGCTGTCCTACTCGTACCACAGAAGGAGTTACAACTCTGGCACTTCAAAGTGCTTGAGGATCGTCGCCACCCAGTCGGATGAATACATGTAATAGAAAACATCCCCAAAATGCCCAATTACTGCCTGCAGCTTAGCCGGACCAGTGGGGCCAGTAAATATCCTGGCACTATTTTTTGGTGTTTTGCTTGTAATTAACTACAACTTATCGCTGTGACCAGGAAATAGATAAAATCCCTAATGTAAGACCTACTTTTGTGAATAAACATTTTTATGTTGACACACTGTTCCGTTTTCCATGCAATGTTTGTAATATTATTTTTGTCCCTCCAAAACATCAGTTTTCAGAGACTTGGTACAAAATTGACTAAGACTGGCAAACACGTTGACCACACTGGAAAGCTACATGTAAGTTCATATTGAACAAAATGCGCTATTTCATCTCAACCATGTGATCTCATAAATTCACAGTTGTACAAATGCCCCAATAAAAATTATTCAAACAAAACACAAAAACTCATAAACTACTTGGCTATTTATTCCCAAAATACCTCCAGAAGAAAGCATCTGAGAAGGGCAATAACTGCACAAGAACATTCAGGGCACAAGACCTAACAAAAGCAACTGTGCAAGTATTAAAGTTGATGTTGCTGTGAGATCACACCCACCACCAACGAAGACATGAATATTCAATGTCCAATACTTCAGTACACAAAGTTTTAAGGATGCAGACAACCACCGAAAAATTGCAGTGTTGATCATGTTGTACAAAGGGGTCTCATGGTTGTGAAACAGTATCGAGCTCTCTGTGCTCTGGCTACAGACATACCGCACATGCCAGAATGCGGTAATTGGTAAGATGTTATAGCCCGGGCAGTTCAAACTCCTTCTGTGTCCTTCCTCATGCTCAACACACTTCTTACTCATATTACTGCACTGCACAAACAACTGTGATATGGTGCCTGGCAGCTTTTAATGTACAATATGCACAAACCACCAGGCCAGGCCAATACGTTTAGCATGTTTTTCCCCAAACTTCTGGCCAATTTCATGATTATGCATGCATATGGTAGATTGTTTAGACTGAAGATGAAACTGTCCAAACCCTTGTGTTGTAATTAAATTTCACTAGCATTAACATGTCTATAGTACTGACCTGTTTATGCAGATGACAGATCCATTCTGCAAACTGTCTAGCATTGGGTATAGTTGCTGACAGGAAGACATAGTGAACATTGTCTGGCAGAAGTATGATAGTCTCCTCCCAGACAACACCTCTATCTGGATGTACATGTAACACAATTTTCAAACAGAAATTGTAAGTACAGGTCTTAAAAGTGGGGCTCAACAAAGAACTACAACCAGTTTTTACCAGCTGCCATAAGATAAAGCATAAGTTAAGAACCTGTTTTGCACCCCAAGTGTATAATGAATTTGTGTGCTTTTTCATACATGCATATACAGTTGTTACAGAAAATGATAAATATCAAAATAAAAATGTCGAAAGTACAGTAGAATATACACTGATATTATTTGAGCTTTGTCATTTCCAATCCTGAGAAACCTCATTAAATACATAATATAGTCTTCCTGAATCAATGATAAACTTACTCTTGTCTCGCATATAGTGTATCTCATCAAATATTACCCATGCAACCTCTCGCATGATCTCTGAACCTCGATACAGCATGCTTCGCAAAATCTTTACAGAAACAAAGACAATTTTTAAATAAAAGAATTTGCCACATTATGCATTGGGAGAGGGAGCCAATCTTTCTTACTTGCAGCTGCAAGGCTGCATTGTGGAACGATGCAGCTACAACACAACATCAAATGACAATAGTGACACAGAAATTGAAGTGTTGATCCTTGCCGAGAGAAGAAATTCAAGAGAAAAAACCCTTGCCGTGCACAAAGGAATCAACTCATAACACTACTCAATTATGGCCAGGAATTGAACCCAGGCCAGAATAGTGAGAGGCAAGTGTTTTATGAACTCGTCACTTGTGCTACCTAGAATGAAGATATATATTTGAATCAGGGTTTCCCCTGGGGTACTGATGCATGTATGTGCTAGGTGGTCAAACAAATTTTGCCAAGATTCAACTGCCTAAAACAACAAGGAGTGTTTACAAAAAGACCTCAAATAAATTCTATATTGTGTAATAGTACCTTTACTCCAAATTTCCCCTCTAAAAAAAACAATCTTACATGTGTCCCTCCTTACCATTCTGAACAATTTGAATCCGATCTATTTCAAATTATCTGAGTTATTATGCTTTTTCCTTCCATCTTTGTCTATTTTTAGTGTGAGATGGTAACATTCAAACCTGAGGTGGTTACTCAAATCAGTGAGGTGGGCTGCCTCATGGTTGAATAAGCAGGGGAAATCCTGATTTGAATATAAATTTGGTCCGCACTGCAAAGAAGAATGATGGCTCTACTTGAGATTTAAACAGGTCCCTTCCTCAGGTGAAAACACTGAACTAGTTTAGGGACTGGAGCAGAGTAAGGGTTAGCATCAATAAAAATGTTAAGAGCAATATTTTACAGAGAACTTCAAGGACTCTTCTTATTTCTTACCTCTGTTGTCATGATGAGGCAGCTTGCTGTTGGGTTGATGGTAACATCACCTGTCATCAATCCTACATCTTGGAATTCCTCATACATCTCACGATATTTTTGATTGCTCAGAGCCTTGATGGGGGTGGTGTAGATGACACGTTGCTTGTCACGTAGTGACATTGCAATGGCATACCTGTACGTGAACATAAGCTACTGACAGTTTTCAAAAGCACATTGAAAGCACATTCAACCAAGTGCCAGAACTGTTGCAATGATGGTGCTTGAAAACACTGCAGAACGAGAAATGATATTGGGGTAGGTTGCTGAGGACTATGTATTCTGAAACCTATCTGCAAAAGAACTGTCAACTATTCAACTTCTTTAATCGGTTACAAAGTGCTGATTTCCCTGAGGGTTTTCTCTCAGCACCATGCCAGAGCATGAAATTAGGGTCAGACATCCGACATTTTTCGAACATCTATTGTGTTTGTCTGAACAAAATCAAAGATGTTCGGACAAATTGTCCAACCAACGTATCAATAACAGCTCTTAAAATATCAACATAATATATTGGACTGGTGGCATCCAATTTATTATTAGTTTTGTGTTAGAATTACGTTAATTACACCTGAGGCCTTCATCAAGGCTGATCACTCATCACCGGCCCATGTCACCTAGCGCCACGCATGTATATATACTTTACTTGCACAGACATGAAATCGCCCCGTAATTCTTTGTGCATCGTCAACATTCACATTTCGCTGTCACAGTGGTGAAAACACGTGTACGAAACTCAATGCATTAAACGAAGCTGCTCTGCTCTTTGCACCCTTGCAAAAGAATGCGTGATGGAAATGCAGCAACAAGTACCAGTCTGTAATGTACATGTACTGAATGTACTGTACATAAGCACTCTTTGTCAGCCGTACACGTCATGAATGCAAAAGGCTGCATGCCAGAAAGACATTGATGTTATGTTGCAAGAGGTTTTCTGCAAGTTAATTCACAGAACTTGGTCTCTTATTTATGTCTGTATTTTCTGTGTTCGTGAGTGTAATTTGAGGTTGTTCTGCTAATGCCGCAAGGTTTGGTGCCCGCAGGTCTAGATGCATCACGTTCGCTTACCTAGCAATACACAGACATTGTTGGCCAGTTTGCCATCGTTATTGCCAACATGATTATGTGAATTGTTTATAATTTCCTTGTGAATTGCTGTATGTAGAAATTTTTACATAGATTAAGACAAGTGCTCTTCACTTTTTGAGATAATTTTGGAGGTTGTCGCCCCCACCGATGCCATTCAATCAGCACAAAATTGCCCCCAAACAAAAAAAATGTTCTGACTTACCAACCCAATTTTTGAGAGGCATGCATAGCACAACTATTTGTTTGGCCTACTAGAAGACTGCATGTATGCAGTAGGCCTTAGTTAAATAACAATAATCATGGATTCTGAGAAATCTTTGGCAAGTGTTGATCCAATTTGAGCAAGCAAATGGCGTGCAAGGTCGGGCAAACTAAATTTAAAAAAAAAAATAGTGGTGGCCTGCACCCGAACAAGGATTGCTCAATGTGGCTGCGTGTGCAGTTCTGGTAGGAAAAGAAAAAAAAGTGAATTTCGACCTCTGACACTGCACGTTAAAACTCTACCTGTTATATAATATGGCAGATCAAACGATGGTAATGGCAGAACAAAATTGATGTGTTTTGACATTTTGTCCGAGCACTTTTTGGGTCTAATTTCGCGCTCTGCATGCTACCCTGCGAATCCTTTCCTTTAGCAAATTTCTCAATGTTTTTACTCTCTAAAACAAAGTATTTTTCACGGGACACTTCCTAGGGCCTTCTAAATTCTTTGCAACACTTTCTTTGAACTTCAACTTACAAGGGGAATTAAGCTGCATGTAAAGAAATAGTGGATGGGTTACACCTTCCTCAATAATGCAAAACGTGTCTAAACATCTGGGTGACCTTGAAGGATAAGGATAATACTAGGGTCTCATTTGGCAGAACTTACTCTGCAACTACTGTCTTTCCTGCAGACGTGTGAGCTGAGACCAAGACTGACTGGTTATTCTCAAGACACTTCAGAGCTTCTTTCTGGAAAGGATCCAGAATGAATGGATACTCCTGCAAGGAAGAACAAGTTTATTTCAAATATTCAAATGCTGAAAAAAGGTTTGGAGGGAAAAAAGTGTTCTCTTCTCAATTTCATTCCCTTACAATTATTATATGCTTCATATTTACCCCCCCCCATCAGTCATTCCTTAACTCTAACTGCAAAAACCCTGTCTGGACCCTTAAGTGAAGACACTCACTTGCAGACCAGCATCTATGACAAAGTATCATGTATATGCACATTTTATGATTAATAATTCCACAGATCTCCAAATTTTGACAGCAGTCACATATTTTATGGACCATATCAATGATATTAAGGAAAACATTACACATAGTGTATGTACAGGCGAGCCATCCCATGCATACTGTTAAGACTGGGTAGTCCCATTCACATGCAGTTGGGCCAAAGTCGGTTCATAATTTGTATATTTGCCACACAACTGTACATCCACAGTTTCCAAAACCTAGAAAAGCATCTTTCTTTGCCCCGAATCACTAACAGACACATTTTCTGCAGGGTCCACCTAAGCCGGTCAGCTGATATGGCCAGATGACATACATGTTGTAGTCTGGCCATCTAACATTGATCAATGAACTGATGACCTTAAGCATATTTCTGCTTGAAATGACATCAGAATTTTTAAAGCTGACTATCATTGGCTTGTGAACTGAGTCACATCAAATTTGCATGCCCGTATCAGGTGTTTCAGAGCTACACTCCATTGAGCAACGGATGACAATGAGTAAAGAGTAAAACTATTACAACTTCAGTCCTTATGCTTAACTGTAGCATCCAAATTCATCCATTCAGCTTCCAATACCTCCTTCCCATCTCACCTTTGCTGGTTTGTTTCCTGAGGGTTTGAGTGGTTCATATTCTTCATTAAGAGGTAGAGCCACCTCGTGACTACAACCTTCAATAGATTCTACTGTCTGACACTTCACCTGGGGTAGGATTTCTGCCAGACTGAAATTAATTGGATGACATTTCTGTTAAAATAGTTTAATACGTGAACACATGTACATGTCTGAGGCCAAACAAAAAATTAGTTGTGTTTCCTATTACAATGAAAAATAAAATAAGATGAAAAATAAATTAGGGTGGTTGGTTGGGTGAAATTTTTTTTTTCCTTAATTTTTTGTTGCCGAAAGAATTAGGGTCGGATGATCTTTTGGGGTTTTTTTTTTGGGGGGGGGGCTATATTTGTAATAGGTGTTAAGTCAGTGTCAGATTCATACTGTACATGTGCACATCAATGTTACATATCAGCTCTGTAATTGAGTAGTAAAGCAGCTGGTTGTTGAAATACAAACACACAAAAGCTGTCCATCTCGTGCAAAAATTAAAACAATACAATGTAAAGGACAATGTACATGTACACAAAATTAGGCTCGGGGCAAGGCACCCTAAGTTTTAATATTTTATTGATTTGTTGAATGAAAAGATATAGGTTCCGTGAGGTTTTCTAAGTTGGGTCTGGTAACTGGAAACACAGCCATTTTTTTGTTTGGCCCAAAGATAAACATCACACAGCACAACTTCAGGGTTTGACATTAACTTTTAAAATTAATTTTAATTAGAATGTTTTTCATAATACAATATATACATGTAGTGATCATGCATCATTGCCAAGAATATCAGGATATTCTACCAATTAAACTACCAAAACCCCTCGGGTGTATGTAAACTCCTATTGACATTGGAGGATTTGGGACTGTTAGGGCTATTCATTCATGTACATGTACCAGTACTTGGATGCTGAGACAGTTTGGCATGATACATATTCCAAGCCATCTTACATTTGTAAAGTAACTTACTTGAGTTCATCTGCAGTCAGAGAAAGCTTGGGCTTCTTTCCTGTTGTGTACTCTGGTACCTCATGGTCACCTGCATCAAGCTGTTGATTACCTTCCAAAAAGCTGGAAAAAACATAAAATCAAAATTTCCCACTTTTTAAAATTTAACAGTTTTCAAAGTAAATGCTAACTGTCCCAGTTAAGTTTGACTTTTTATGACATATTGTTGCTTTCTGATGGTAAATACGTATATTCCTGCAGGGAAAATTAGAGATGTCCATGTTCCGCAGTAGGATAAGATACCCTCTGTAGATGGCAAACACCAATGAAAAAGTGGCAAAATGTGGAGATAAAAACCTACATGTACATCACTTTTTGCAAATCAAACCATATACAACACTGCACCAGAACAATTTAGCAAATGTTCAACTTCATAGTTATGTAACCTTTTACCAGAAGTCGTCAGGTGCCCAGAAAAAGGTTGTAAGGGTGAAAAATGAGTCAACCGTCAAATTTATTTTTTCTGGAAACTGATAGAGCACTGAAATATCTTTCATTTGGTATACATGTTGATTCAAGGGACATCATTCTAACGTAATTAACCTGAATAAAAAGGACGGTAGGTGGTTTTACATTACTTTTGCCCGGAATAAGGATGTTACAATGTACAACATAAAAATGTTAAATATTATTTTTGTCATCAACAAAACTTCATCTTCTCAAAAAGATAATAGTCCTGCTTGTGCTTGTATTCGTTATGCATCCCCAAGATTTGGTCCAGAGGGAAAACACCTTAAAAAGAGTTCCATATGCCAACAGTACACCACTATAATTTTCCCTTCAAATGTCATAACAGCTGTCAAATAATGATATTGAGCGTAATCTTTTAAAGTGCACAAACTTCAAATTTGTGTGTGCAATTCTTAAAATTTTGCACAACCAAAAAATTGCATGGATACATGACCCACAAGCAACAGTTGTATGTAAGAGACTAACATCAACTACACATTTTGAATGATTTTGTAAGGTCTGTTTCACACGTGATGTACTGCGTGGCACATACACGTACATGTATTTGTTATGGGGCTGGGGCACGGTATGTCACACGTCATGCCAGCAAACTGCGAGAAATTTCCCCATTCAAGCATTTTGATAAATACTGCCATGTGAGAGTAATTAAATTCCTTTGTCAACATTTAATTCTGACTTTTCTTCCCTCTCAAAGATTTCCTTGTGAGAGCTTTTAAAATCCTTCTCAGCTTTAATAGCACAAATATGCATGAATGCCCAAAGTCACTCTTGTACATTGTCTATAAGGAACACAAATACATGTACATGTATGCACAGGTTCAACATGTACACAGTTGGTTGCCAGCACAACATGACACAGGGTCTTTTGTGCAGTCTTCTTCGCTGTACTTGGTTTACTGCACAGTTATGCACATGAAACAGTGAGGAACAGTTGTTGGGCAGCACAAAAGTGCAATTTGATATTCCTGTGAGGGATAGTTGGTGCAGTGCACAACATGACACTGTTGTGCATTTTTTGTACCTCTTACCAACTGACTCAAAGAGTGACTTTAGCAAAGGAGGGAGTTGAATTTCCCTGTTGACATTTAATTCGAAATTCTTAGAGTCGTACATGTACTAGAAATATATCTGCAATAAAAGTAGGATCCCAGACAAAATAAATATCAGGGAAAATAAGGATTTTGAAATGACCCCCTAAAGTCCTTGTTTGTAATGGAGTCTTAACCTTTACTCAAGGCAACAGTTTCCCAAATTGACTGGTGCCAGATAGCTGTAGACTAGCTTTAAGGGGGATGGGTATCCCCAGTCAAATGCCAACCATCACAAATTCCTTTACAATCGCAAAGTTTGAGGCACAAAAACTGTGCACGTTCAAAGATTACACTCAACGTTATCTGTGCAAATTTTAAATACATGTATGCACAACCTTATAAAAATTGCTTGAGCAAAATTGCTCAAGTTGCACATTAGGCCGATGAAAGTTGATCTTAAGGTTCACATCAGCCACAAATTTCTCCAAAATTTGACGAGGGGTTTTCCTAAAGATTCATTACACTCACACTTTGCCAAGCGTGTCCAAGAACATTATGATAAATATCAAACTCTTAACATTCTAACACACAAAAATGTACGTCTACATGATACTGTACATCCAGTGTTCTAGCTAGGACCCTTTTAGTACTGGGTAAGTTTTTGGATTGCGAGGCTCATAGCCGGACTGCATTTGTGCCCTCTATTGATAACGCTGTTTGGCTGGTCTTGAGCAAAGACTACGACCACGTGCATGCTACCTTGGGGGAGGCTACATTATATCCCATAATTTCAAATCTGGGTCTCGTAACAATGCGAGTTAGACATTCTCAATGCTTTCTGATGCATGAAATACCATCAAATTAGTGCATTTTCAGTAACATTTCTGTTCATTTTTTGGAATATCTGTGCTGGGAGGCACAGCCAATTTGAACCCGAGAGCCTGGCGGAAATTTGCAGTACCGGATGGTGCTGCCCACCGTGGCTAGAAGACACTCTCTACATCTATCATGAATAATTTAACTCTACCTACCTAACCCCACTGGCTTTTCCCAAAAATGCCTCCATTCTCTCAATTTAGTATTGCATTCTCTACCGACGGAGACACACACGAAATTAACCGTGACCATTTTGTACATGCATTTCCAAAACAACAAGTTCATTGGATGTATTGGCAAAGACGGCAATTCAATACAATTTTGTGTGTCTCCAAAGATAGAGAATGCAATACTAAATGGAGGGAATAGAGGCATTTCTGTAAAAGCCAGTGCTAGCGTTCGGTTCTAGACTGATGATCTTGACGCAATTTTTAAAAACAAGTGAACGGCGTACGTTTTTGATGTGGGCTGAAATTTCCATGCAGGCAGTGACAAGAACCATGAGATCAACTTTCATCGGCCCAAATTTAAAATTTGTGCACTTCCAAAATGTTCGAAGATTGCACTGCATGCACAGTGACAACATTAAGTATATCATTTTTACTAAATGTAAAATTTAGCTAAGAAAATTCTGAAGCATTTACAAACAAAACACTCGTTTTTTTAGACAAGTTTCACAGGTTTGTGCATTGGGACCAAATGTTTACCGCATTATGGAACTCTTTCCAAGACAGACAACATGACCTGATTGACACAGATTTTTGTCAGACAAGAATCCTAGTTTCTCACGAAATTAGTGCAGCAAGGCCTAAGCTAAAACCATATTTTCAACAGTTTTTTTCTTTTTAACAATACATTATGACGCCTTTTAAATGGTTAACCTCGATTTCCGGCCATCCAGGACTGGGTTGCGCTTTCGTTTCTTGGCGGTCTGATCATCGTCTTCAAAGACAGTAAACAAATCGCCTCCAAACGCATCTGCCATGTTGCTGATCGCAGTTTGGAATTTACCGTCGTCTGTGTCCAACTTAACATGTGGGATTAAACCTCTATCCACTGCGCTGGTACGCTGGTGATATGGACACGCCGTTTGTGTAAACGAACAGCAGGGAACCAGTTCTGTTAAGATTAATTCCTGATCATAATGGCTTGTTTATCCTGATGTCGCAGCTACGGCAACGAACGCAGTAAGTACCCTGAAAATGTGATGAGCTTTATTTTTTACTATTCCTGTATTGACACAGTTACGATTATGTGATCCGTGCACATGTACCTTAGGAGTTTTAAGTTGTGCTTGTAGCATGATATGACTCTTTGCTTTACCTTGTATAAGTTGTCATAGGCCTGGGCCCACGCCAACGGTAGTGTGTGGTCATGCATGCCATAGTAGCCCCACTAGTGTGGCACGGATCACTCCTGATTTATCCTTAGGGATAAATCAGGAGTGATCCGTGCCACACTAGTGGGGCTAGCTATAGCAGGCCTAACTTCTTTTCCCATTCATCCAAGCTCTGTGGTTAAAGTACTTAACCTAAACTTTGAATCTTCATGACGAGAAGGGGCGTAAGACTAATAGGAGGATTATTAAGCTTAAAAGGCAGACTGATGTACATGTACATGGTAGTTGACTTGTTTAAGTTTCTTCACGGCATTTATACTTTCAATGCCAAGAAGTTCTTCTCCATTCCACAAACAACCATAAAGCCTAACAAACATGCCTAAAGTAGGGAGTCCAACACTTTTCAGTTTTCTTTTACCCCCACAAATTTAGTACCATTGGAAAGAGAATTTCAAAAGAAAGTGAATGGTATAAAATTTAGCTCAATATCTGTTAGTATAGTGAAGTTATGAATTTTTTGTTATTAAAATTAGGTGTAATTATTCTGTCACTTTTTGGGGGTGGACACAAATTTTATTTTCATCAATGTATTTGAACCACATGGAGTCATGGTCCTCATCGGTTCCATTTCCAGACATGCCAGAGTTTGACTGAGATATTTAATTAAGTCACAGAGGAAGTGTAAAGTAAACAATATCTTTTAAATTATAGAGAACTTTATCAATAATACACATACATATGTAGCATACATACGGGACAGTTGAGTTGGGCTTGAAACTTTTAGTGGTGTGTGAAAGATCACTGAAGCACAGTTTTGATGTAATTTTTGTCATTAATAAATAGATATAAAAATAGAGGACCAAGTTTGTCAGGTGTCATAAGTTCCTTTAAATCTTTTCGTGTTTGACAGGGTCTTTTGATAACATTTGATTGAAGCAACATGTGTGGTTTATGCGCTTGTTATTTGCATCTTGCTCCCCATGCACCATGCATCAATCTGATGCACAGGCATACACCTATAGGGTCGTCATGAGAGTCAGTGTTGATTTAGTGTTGTTGCCAACTTTATTCGCAAGAATGACCAAGAAGGTTGCGATAGAATTGTAAGCTAACTGTTGACTGAATTGGAGAATTGAAAAGCAGACTAATACTGCTTACTGGATCTGGATACTGGGCACTGGATACTGCATACTGGATACTGAGGAGCTGTACAATGATGCAGGACATATATACGGTTAGAAACAGGATGTAGTTAAAGTCACAAAACTTAAGAAAGGAAAGTCTTATAGTCACATGTCTTAGCTGGATTCTTAGAACAATGACTGTGAATGAATAATTTCACCTTAAAACAAAGTCCTTGGTGGATGATAGTACAAGCTTAAATGAAGCATGCTGAAGTGTGCCACAGCCTCTGGGCTAACAAGGCCAAATAGGCGGAGCAATATACACTGTACAAGACACTGTGTGGATGTACTCTTACAAGGAAAATGCAATGAGTAATATGTCTAAGAAATGGCAAACAGGATATACATGTATACAGGAAATGAAAAAGTTATCAAAATTAAAAATGAAGATTCTGAAATAGTAAGGAAACTGACAGTTTGATGTCACCCCCCTTCCTCACTCTGTTTCCTCACTCTCCACTGCCCACAGTGCCTGGGTTTTCCACTTCACCTGCCTTGACCTTTGACCCCGACTTTTTTACCGCACATATAACCCGGGCGCTTCTACTGCACATAAGGGGACTTCCCCTTGCTTTCCCGGTCGCTACAAGTCTCGACTTGCCCGGCCTGAACTTGTGACTTCTACTTCCTCTCTGCACGAACAGGGAATTCCCCTCGTGACTTCTGACAGTTTACAACCGCCTTAAATAAGCGGACTATATATAAAAACAATGTCCAACCAAACCTACATCGTAACCGACGATCATGAGCGTCTCAATGCCGACAACTGTGATCCCCACGTCACCTTTGGTCCTTTTGACCCGAGTAAATTAATTATTTCAAAACCCGTGATTAAAGACAATAAACATGCTTCTGTCTGCAGCTCGTCTATTTTTTGTCACTACAACGGATGAGAAAAAGCCTGTTAATTATGACGATCGAACCCTGTTAGGGCATAAACCTGCTGGATAAATACGGTACAAAACCCCCGAAAATATCAAGGGCCGCCAAATATGCTACCAAATCGAGCAACCTACTGCAAATGTACTCGATCACATAGATTTAGCTGTTTATAGGTTTATTGAATCTCAAGTCGCCATCGGGTCTAACATTCCGTCTAATACCATAAACGCCTACAAAGCCAGTCGCGAAATTGATGACCTTATAAAATAGAGTACGTGGTTAAACCACCTTACACTGCCAAGAACCGAATGTATGTAAAATAGATCCCCATGCTTCTCTATTTTATCACCGAAAAAGACCTATTGACTCATCAAATATCCAGAAATTTACCGATAAGAGTTGTGACGCGCAATCTTTTATTCACCCAAAAGATGTATACCATGGTACTCATGGTTCAATGTTGTTCAAATAAATCTGTGCTACAAGTGTTTAGTGGATTTGATTTTGAAGACGAGTTTGAAGATTGAGAATAAATGAGATTTATTTTGGAGATTTGTGAAAACTAGAAATGCAAAACAATGAAGATTTGAGAAAAAATGAAAAAAATATTTTAAAACCTTGTATAAAATTAGAGATGGAAAAACCAAACAATGTCAATTGTCACTTTTGCAAAAACGTAAACGCGTCTGTTAAGGTAATAGACGGCAGTGATTCTAACAACTGTTCAAATTGTCGCCATATTTATTTATGCCAGGACTGCAGGAATCGCACACGTTGCGAAGGATGCACCAATTGTTCTAATTGTAAATCTTGTCAGGAATGTGATAGTTGTTGGAACTGTAAATCTTGTGAAAGTTGTATCGAATGCATTGATTGTTCCAACTGTACTTATTGTATCAATTGTACGAACCAGAGCGATAAAGATTTTTTAATATTTATAAATAGCGTTTATAAAAGACTTATATTAATTATGCCAAATGACCCTTTACCCAAAGTAAAAACAGACTTTGACAAAGACTTGGAAGAATTGGGTCTAATGATTGACGAAACCAGAGAATTACCTGATGGATATGAACCCGAAGAATTGCCTGATGATTTTTATGGTTGTACCGACTGTCATGATTGTATTGGATGCGAAAGATGCCACAATTATATTGGATGTGAAAATTGTGAAAGATGCTACGATTGTGGAAACTGTACCGATTGTACAAATTGTTATAGTTGTTATTGTTGCATCAACTGCGAAAATTTAGAAGGCAAATCACATTTAGCATTTGAATGGGATGAATATGGTTTTGATCACTATTATAAGATGAGACTAAGAAGACCAAACGAGTCCTACCCTGATCCAGAAACCGAATTAAAAGAGCAAGCTCAAAAACTTGGCTTAATGATTAACTATGACGAAGAAGTAGAAGAACCACCACCAAGTAAGTGAAACAAATACCGAGTGCACTTCCTAAAACAACCCAAAGAGAACTTCCCCCGGACATGGTTGTTCGGTACCTATATTACGCGGGTGAACAGGAGGGAGGCACCGTCAGAAGGGCAACAGATCCAATTTGGTCAGTGGACGTTTGTCAAGTGGAGAAGCGTACCAGTCAGTGTAAGCTAGCCGGGGTTAAAAAATTAAAAACGGGGCCCACTTTGTACTATCTGTTAAACGGGCCAAATAGAAGTTTCGTCAAAGAAGAGCTTCAAGTCGTACCTGAGGATACCAAATTACCACCAGCTAAATAATGTCCGTAAGCTAACATGTCTATGTCGTTTGGTAATATATAACGTTTAGTGTCTAATGGCGAGAGGCTTAACTTATTTTGCCTGATGGTGTACACTTGATGTTTATCTGATCTAAATAACAGCTCTTTATTTAAATGCTGCGCCCGTTAAAATAGGCAGCTTTTATACATCTCGTGCGACAATCGTTTCTGGGTTACGACCTTAGTGACGCTTTTTGCCTTCTTTAAATTTTGATCTTCTGTTAAAATCGAATACATCTTAGGTCTAATGCAAACGACTTCCAAAATGACCTTACCTCCAAATTCGTCTTTCATCTTGCCTATGACTTTTTTGTTTTTGGGATCGTGAAGTTTATGGCCAGGTGGGTAATTGCTACAGTCAAATACATGTAGCTCGCATTTGTTATGCAGGTACTTGGTTAAATTTTCAGTTTGGATCTGAACGAGTGAACTGTCCGTATCCGTGTAAAGTAAATTTACTTTATCGCCGAAATTGAATTTTATCTCATTTTAATAAAAGTCGTACATCAAAGTTTTAGATAAGTCGAGCACGCTTACGCTGCAGTAAATAGGCTTGTTCAGCTTGGTCTTTACGCGATACATTTCCACGAATGAAAGGTCGCACTCTTTAAACGGAACCGTCGATTTGTAATTCAGTTTAAAGGTCAATTTTTTGTACTTATCTGTGTCTTGTACGTCTCTCAATAAACACCCGTCCATTTGGAATCTGACATTTCCATCGTCTTGCCAAAAACTGAATTGTTCATCAGTTTGAAGAAGTCTTTCTCGAAATCGGACTTAGCTAATTTACGCAATTCGGTATATTTATCGATGTAGCTCTTCATCCAAGGCCACTGTTTAAACGACATTACAAGGTGTACCTCTTTTAACTGGAGGCCGAGTTCCAGGTACTTTTGCAACATACGACAATGAACTAAGTATTTATGTTTTGTGCCTAAAGTGGCCACGAGTTTGTCTACAGAGGTTACTTGCTCGCCTTTGCTAATTAAATTTTGTTTGTAGCTTGAAAACCATTCATTTGGAATTGACATATTTTCAGGCGCTAGCGGGAAGTTGTTGTGTTTGACATGTGCTGCGGGTAGTCTAAGGTGACCTCAAACATGTACCCACACGTGTCATTTGGTGGAATTTTAAGAATAAACTCAGGAGTAAACTTGCCTAAGTTTTTAAGCCACTGAAACTCACCCATGGGTAATGATTGACTCATCATAAAGCAACTTTCATTGATACCATTAACCCTACTGAATTCTATACTTTGAAATATCAACTCAACTTTTAGTTAGTTGTGACAAAATAAAATCACTGTGTAGGGGCCTGAAATAGGTACACATTGTTTATCTCAAGAACATGCCCCCCCCCCATTTTCTATGGTTGTGCTTGCTGCTAGTACAGTGGAATCCTACAACTGTTCAGTGTAGGAGTGGTGATGGACAGGAAACGGCTTAGAGAAGAAGTAGCACGGTGTTATGTAATGCTTCCTGAAAGGCAGTGTGGTCACATGTGGGCCATGTGTGGAGTCTTTGTTCTGAGTCACTCTGACTCCATGCGTTGTCGAAGTAACATCGACCCCAACACATGCCCTACAAGTGCCTACCTGTTTCCTTCTTTTACAGGTATGTAATGCTCTTCTTTCTTTTCATGCCAATCTATGAGGTCCTTAATAAGTAGACAAGTGATTTATATTGTTTAGATTTTTATGTAATGGCAACTAGGATGAGTCTTTGACGGGTCAGTAATTACTTGTTGGCAAGTTAGGCATGTATCATGTGGCATGAAGATTTCTTACCACTACGACATTATGCAACACGCAGGGACATGAAGTGAATCAGGGCTCGCCTAAACCCGCACTTTGATTTTTCTAACTTTTAATAACTAGGCCCACTGGGGAGTGAATTCAGTGCATATTTGTATCAGCGAACTTTTTCAGGCGTGTGGTAGATACAGCCTGAATTAGGCCCTTTGGCCATGCTAATTTGAGTGGAGTGTAACAGGTCAAAACGCGAATCCAGTACAGAGCATGCTGTAGCCTAATTGACCAACTGATAGATTTGGATTGGAACCTAAGGTGTTCATGTTTCTTGTTATAGTGTGGACAGTTATAGTTTCGTGTAAAGAATCGATACTGAAGAATCGATACTGAATGTTTGATACTGGGACCACGGTGTGCGTAGTATCGATTTTTGGTAATCTCTAGGATTAGATTTATTAGTAGTAAGTAACAGATAATGTATTTAAGTTTAGACTCTGACTCCATGCGTTGTCGAAGTAACATCGACCCCAACACATGCCCTACAAGTGCCTACCTGTTTCCTTCTTTTACAGTTTGGAGTCATAATTTTAATGTGCACCCTCACGGTGACTTGTATAGGTCACCTGGGGTGTAACAACTGTGTAAACCAAACTTAAGTTCTTGAATCTGGCTTTAAAAAAAAGTAGCAAGCTAATGAGCATCAGGATGGTCTTCATTCAGCGCTGGCTTCACCTTTATGGGTTTCAATTCTTGGGAAAACTCAGAATGCACGAATTTCACTGCTCCTACTTCTGCATTAGATGATTGAATAACAGAAGAATTACATCAGACATCTTGTTTCCATCACAAAAGTGTTTGGCCCTGAACAATAAAAGAAACTAAGTGGAGGGAGGAAACAAGCGTGCTGACAAGTGACACAGAATTCTCTGCTGCAGACTATGAATGGTTCATGAACAACTCTGAGCTTGCATCGTGGCATTGTGCGACATGTGCCTTGTTTTTTACTGACGAGTCTGCGATTCCAGTTGGAGAAAGTACCAGAGCATCTGCCCAAGCACTTTCTCCACCTGGAATTTGTGAAGATGTAATGGAAGTGGACGAGCATGCCCTTTGTAGTGAAGAGGAGTCCAACGCGTTGTTTGAAGTCTCTGGTAGATTTCAGATCCCTCAGCTGCCCAAGGAGGAAAGCATTGCCAACGAGTCTGTCCCAGAAGTCATCTCTAATGCTGGTCAAGACCTTGTTGTCACTTACAAGATTTTGGAAAGGGGTACTCAGCGAGGAAAGCTAATTCTGATGGATAACCGAGGCTACAAGTATACCAAGAGGTGGCAGCAAAGCCCATCATGAAGCAAGGCTGCAAAATCCCACTGATCTCTAGTTTCAACTGGCTACTGATTTCATCCTTGTGGACTTCTTAGTCAAGAACATTATCATTGACAAAGAAAGACACTTGCTCTTCATGACCCCAGAATAAGGCATCATTCTTGATTAAGCCGAGACCTGGTACATTGATGGTACTTTCAATGCTGTCCACAAGCCTTTCACCTAGCTGCTGAGTATCCACACCTTTGTGTAATTAGAACATGGACTACAAAAGCAATATCCAGCCTTTTGTGGTGGATTTGGGTCTGGACTGTGGTCAGTACTTTGAGCTATTCTCCCTGATCGTCACATTCAATGGTGCTTGTTCCACTTGATCCAAGCAATCTGGAACAGAGGCCATTGCCCTGGCTTAGCGTGCTGTGCACCATGCAGAAGTTGATGGCTCTTCCATTCCTACCTCATGAACATATCCAGCCCTCCTTCATCAAGCTCAAGAACAAAGTCAACGAACCCCTCCTGAGCCATCTGTTTGAGTACCTCCAACATGTCTGAAGTACTTGGATCAACAGCTGTGTTTGACCTCTGAAGCACTGGTCAATCTTTAAGCATAGCATTCGCACCATCAACGATGTACCGGTAGAGGGGTGGCATTGCAGGTTGAACCTCAAGGCTGGAAGATCTGGAGGATACATGTACCAGATCATCCCACCTCTACATGCAGAGGCCAAGCTGGTCAGCATCCAGATGGTTCTTGTAAGAGAATCCAAGATGTGCCACATCCAGCAGAGGAGTGCCAGGCAGATTCCAGCTATGAGCAGCCACCAGGGCTAAGTTCTATTCACTTGCAGCCATCTGCACAGTCCAGCTGTTTCAAGAACCCAAGAACACAAACCCCAACGGCTGTTTTTAGAGCCATGCATTTTCAAAAGAGACTGTTCCTTTCACATTATAGAAAGGCTCTTTTCAGAGCAACATTCTTTCCCCCCCCAAAAAAAATGAGAATTTGTATGTTTAGGTAGGAAATCAATCAATCTAAAAATACTGATAGATAAAATAGTAGCACCCAAAAAAAATCAAGAAAAAAATTTGCCCAGGTACATAAAACATTCTTCAAAATCCTGTTCTGTTTTTTTCGTAGGTCCAGATCGCATGAAAAGAAAAGCTACCTTTTGCTCTAAAAATCTCGCTTCAAATATCTTTTGCATCAAAATGAGTTTCAGAGTCTCCATTTTTTGTACCTTTGCAGAAAGCTGAAGGTACATGTATTCCAAGTACATAATTGCGCGTGCATGAAGTCAACTATGCATGCAATAAGATTGTTGGCGTATAAGTTGGTTGGCATACAAGTTGGTTGGCAAATGAGTTGGTTGATGTATGAGGCGGCATGCATATGAGTCGGTCTGCATACATGCGTACGAGTTGGCATCGGTATGAGTTAACCAGCATTCCACAGAAATGTTCAGTACTCTCTGTGCTCTCTTACATGTTTCAGATATATGTTTCTTCCACGATAGATTGTTGGTAATGCAGATCCCAAGATACTTTCGGCTGTCTACGCTGGTTAAATTTTCGCTGCCAGAAATGTTAAGATAGTTTTGTCAGTGCCCAGGTTTTAATTGTGCTGCATGTTGATGGGTATAATAATCCATTCTCCAATTTGATTGCAGACTTGACCTTTGAGCCTTTAGGGAAGGCCTAAGGAATCCCAGATAGGCTGGGAGATTGGCAATTCATTTTCCCCTAATTTTCCGAGTTACTGCTCTGGCTAAATATTGCACTTGCAGTTGCACCAGTGTTGCCTAAGATCTAAGATCCTACGAGTCCACAAAGATCATGTAAATACATTGTATAATAAAGCATTTTTTTTTTATTGTTTAAGAAAGTTAAAATCTGGATTAAGTAATCTGACTATGGATTTGAATATTCACATTGGGTTCCAGTGGTGTAACTATGGGGAGGGGGGCACCTGACCCCCCAAAGGATGTCCAGGTGCCCTCCCCCATGTGAAGTCTTTGAATAATGTCCGTTGTAATGCATTGTAGCTTATTTTCTTATGGTACCCCTTTGAAAAAAGGTTCTCAGACAAGCACTGAGTATACAGTATTCATGAATTTATTGCTGTGCCGGTATAAAGGCAAAACCTGTAATTAAAATAACTGTGACTGTCTTTCTCAAGATTAAGATAAAATACGTGTAGTTAACAAAAGAAAATTTGTTAACATTTAAGACAGTTTTGGTGAGAAAATAAGCAAATCAGCAGAAAATCAGCAAATGTTATAGCACACTTCCTGCTGCTTTTCTGTCTTGGTAGGCTGAATAACGATCACTTGTGGTTTACTGAAATAGACTTGTGCATGAAATTTGTTGCAGCATGAATTGGGAGCACTTCCAAGACATCCAGTGTGCAAACATTGTAAATTCCAGATGTACACATGGTGCCTGGTCAAGCACTCTCAGCAAACTGTTTGATTTGTTATGGTGCCCTCAAATGACAAGAACAGCCTGCAAGCAGCAACTCAAAAACTGAATCTAGAGAAACTAAAATCCTTCCTTTAATTGTTGAATTGCTTTTGAGTTAATGGTTAACTGAGTTAAAACAGATAAATTAGAAAACTTTTAAAAGTTTCTTTACAGTTTGGATTAAGGTACATGTATGTTATAAAACATAATAGATTGCCATAATTCACTGTCTTGTGTGCATCCATGTATAAATGACCTCGTCACTCCCATACATAAACATAATATAGTGGTTAATTTCTAGAAAGAAAAACATAGCCCTTGAGCCAGGAGAATAACAGTGCTCTCTCCCTCCGAGACTGTCCTCCACCAATATTTCTTTAATCCTTGGCATGTCCCCAAGAGCAGGCAAAAAGATATTAACAGAAAGAAAGTTGCTCTCTCTCAAGAAGCTTCTTCAAATCTCTTCAAACTGCATATACCGGGATTTTTTGCATAATTTCTTAGAACATGGGATAAAAGATGGACCCTCAATTGGTCTTAGCTTGACCAAATCTCATTGAATTTTGACCATGCATGTACTTGATATATTGAATATACTTTCACACATGTATGTCTCTTTCTGTAGTGTCTCTTGTTTCTATGGCAACCAAATATACAGGGCGACACAACTAAAGAAAGTTTTCTTATAGGACTCTCCTAATTTGGTGCACTTGTTTTTTTAAGTTTTCATTTAGAATACATGTAGTTGCGATTGAGCTTCAACTTCATAATTGTTTGTCTGCTGTCATGAAGATAATGGCAAAATATTACAAAATGTAAAGCACTGGTATACTTAAGTGTAAACCCTACCCTTACCTGAAGCTACATACAACATACATGTACCTCTTGTCAAAAATGTAATATCCAGTTCTGTGGCTTGTACAACCTTAGCCTGGTTTCAATGTTTACGCAAAGAGACACAGAGAGCGTTATCCATCTCTGATGATACACAATTATAAACGCTTTATCTCGACTGATGACACAAACAGGAACGGTGACCATCTACATTGAGATGCCAGAGTACAGTAGGCCTGTACAGGTGTGCAAGAATGTCTCTCTTGCTTAATACCACTCATTTTGTCCATTTTTCCTTGTACTGACATCTGACGCTCCAGTTGTCAACAAAAAATCAGATCATTAACAAAATACATCAAACTAGAAAATCACTTTGGCTTCAAGAAGTGGTATCATCACCTAAAAAAGCATTTTATGAGAATATATATATACTTATATATACTCAGTGTTTTCCCCGAAAGCTTATGAAAACAAACAAACAAACAAACAAACACCCCAACACCCCAACAAAAAAACAAACAAACAAACAAACAAAACAACCCAACAAACAAACATACAAACACTCCCCAAAAAACAAACCAACACCCCAACAAACAAACCATCCAACCAACCAACAAATAAACAAACAAACAAACAAACAAAGAAGCAAACACCCCAACAAACACAAATGTACATGTACTTGGGTGGGACTCGAACCCACGACTTCCTGCTGACTATATAATTACTTATAACATGTTTGACTATTTCCTCTCTTTCCCTTTCCAACAAATTAAGTACATGCACAGGAAGAGGACAATTTCAGTGCATGCCAAGTTATTGGGGTCATGGAATTGTAGAGTTACAAAGTACAAATATAATTGTAAGGTTAAATGACAACTCTCATTAACGCAGAACATACTATACTCACTTTATTTCAGAGCATGAAGTGAAAGATAAAATAAAAGTATGAATGAATGCTTTATTTGCTCTGAAATTTATGTCTTCCTATTTACAGGTTTCATTTAGCGTTTGAGAGCTTACAGCCATGGTACTCGTCAGCACTTCTGGTTTGGTGATATTTGGCATTACGCTGATCACATTGGCCGTCACGTCAGCTGTCATAGCTGTTTGTGGGTTACTACTGCAAAAATGGCAACTAGAGAAGCAGCTGAAGGCCTTCCCTGAAGCACCAGAAAGACATTGGCTCTTTGGCCATGTACACAAGGTATTGACCCCATTGTTGAATGATTCATGAGTATGTTTGGCTCTGTGACAGGAGTTACAGATAATGTCATTAAGGACAAGTGTGGTACCAGTACATGCACTTGTGTGTAGTTTGCGCATGTAGACAAATTAACCTACCAATATTTGAAGATTCTGGCAGTCATGGAAGAGATGGTGTGTGATGTCATTTGACCAAGAAATGGAAAAAATAGGCATCTGAAACACCATTGCAATGATTTTCAAATGAAATGCCATCTTTAAAGTGGAAGCTAAACTAAGACATGTACAATACTTCAATTTGATGTTTTTATTGTCAGCTATTTATTTTTCCATTAGCACTTCATTTCTTAGTCATTTAAGGAGAAAAAGGGACCAACTACATGTACAGTATATGGAACTCAAACGAGATGGACATTGTTGTATGAATGTCATGCTGATTTAGGGGTTTCGATGTGCCTGTTCTGACAACTTGACAACTTCTGGAACAAAGTTGTTCATTTCTCGTATAATCCTTTTAAGTTCAGCAATAATGAGGCTTAACCAGACCTGATAAGCAAGTCAAATTGTTCATTTAAACTTCGCTTGGCGCAACTTACACCACCTAAAATGACTGTGCAAGTTAATTTGTTACATTAGTTGCGGACTTGCGCAGTGCGTAAGTTTAGTAAAATTAGTCTTAATTTGTTGCACAACTTAAGGAATAAAATGTGGTATAAGTGGAGTTACGCCATTGCATAAAGTTTCGTGAAATCAGCTGCTGCTGAGAATTATAAGAGCCATCTCTGCAGTGGCATACCCTGTTTATAAAGGTAGAACACACATGTTGCACGCGTCTGACAAATAGGTGTTGTGACTTAAGAATACATGGGCATTTCGCTGTTCCCAAACTGTGGCCAGGGTGCCAGAATGCATCATTACAATCCACACCGACATGTTAGTAGACTCATACACATCATGACATGCTTTACTGTGTGGGTTTTTTGATATAACAATAATGCACCTTGCCAGTGTCTTAGGCTTGGTCCAGTACTATCACCAGGCCCCTATGAGGTTTTAAGGAGTAAAACTATCCCATCATATGTACCTGTACTTTTATTCTCTCCATGACATGTAGTAATCAATACACTGTCATATTTATTGAAAACAATTATGAATGCAACCAATTTCCTCTTAGGCAACCTCTGATGAGAAAGCAATAGCATGGGGAAGAAAGAGTGTAGATGAAGCCATGTATGCCTTGGTCTTTTGGGTGGGGCCTTTCATGCCGTTTGTCTGTGTGTTTCATCCGGACACAGTCAAGACAATTCTCAAGACCTCAGGTAACCTAAGTGTATTAAAGTTTGTTAAGTGTTATAGAGGAGTTAAATTTGCATTCAGTGTGCCATGATGTTCAATCTCTCAATTTCTACACCATTTATCAGATCCAACTCAATGAGCTGGGTGCTCATGATGGATACTCATCCATGTAGCATGCTGGTCTCTTGTGAGTGCAGAATCTAAAAGGATCAAATCAAGAACACCTCACAATTTACACATGTACATTCTACATGTAATTGACAATTTTAATGAAGAGATTTGAAACAGTGGTGCACTGTAAAATCACAGAGGGCACACAGCAAAGTGATTTTTACAGAAGTTACCGGTATTAATCACAGCATGAAAAGCCTTGGATTGTGCCATGTTTTACATGTTTTTTTTCCAGCAGTGTTTCTGTAAAATACCTTTTGATTGTATGAAAAATGGAAATATCCCTTCGGATTTGTAGATGTTCTCTCGACCGTTTATCTTAATATTGTATACACTGTGCCCTGGTTGGTCTTGAGCTGGTTTACTTTGAGACAAGAATTCATTGAACAATAGTAAACCACATTTGTTTCTGTGATAGAAATTGCAGTGTCCAAATGTTTACATTGTCGTGCTGATTTGTCATCAATTTATGGTCCTAAAATTGATTTGTGTAATAGCAATTACATCGTTACAGCTCAAGCATGTCAAGTAGGTGGCTGTGCATGTACAGTACATGTACCAGAAGTTGTCTCTGAAAGCTTAACCCCAAAGTCTTATCAAAGTCAAAGCCTGTAATTGATGAAAAAAAATCATGTCTTCAATGCAGCATTGTAAAATAACTCATTTAAAAAAATTAAACAGTTGATGTTTCCTTCGCGTAATGTGTGTATGTGTGTTCTCTGCATCATTTAATACAAACGTATTGGGAAAGCTTCTAATCTCATAGAAAAAGATATTTAGTAATAATGATGAAAATATCCAGTCCTCCCAGTGTCACAAAATCATATTTGACAAATAAATAGGCCTATAATATTGTAATACTGCATTACATACATGTACATATATGTACCTTTATATCAGTATCTATTGTGTCAGTAGTCAACAAATGATGTTCTGTTGCACTTGGCTTTCTCTTTGGATGTCCAGAAAAACAAGTTACTTGAGGGCAGGCTTTGGAAGTTACGAGACAAACTTCTAATGTACTGTACTTGTACCTGCATAAAACCACTTCACAAACCACTATCACCCAAGGGCTTGAAAAATATACCAACTGACCTCTGGATCAAGACCAGTGTTAAGTACTGATCTCTAACTACTCTTTGTGATCAAACCGACTATTTTTTTTTTTCAAACGGCAAAGTAACAGCAAAAAGTTGTTGTTTTTCTTTTGGGGGGCATCATTCTTGCAAAAACCCTTTGGCCTAGGAAAAGTTTGAACTACTCACGTATGTACATAATGTAAGCCTACAGTAAGGCTAGTGGATTTCAACTAAAATACCTTGTCATTCAGTTTGTGTTGCTTCTTGTACATCCAGAGCCTAAGTCAGAGAATATGTATCGCTTTGTACGGCCGTGGATTGGTGATGGGTTGCTGCTGTCTACTGGCAAGAAATGGGCACGCAACAGACGTCTGCTGACACCAGGCTTTCATTTTGACATTCTCAAGCCCTATGTTGATATCTTCCAAGAATCTGGAGGAATCCTTGTTGTGAGTATAGAGCAATGGATGTATGAACAGAAGACATGTATTACCAGTTTTCCACCAATCATGCCAATCCATCGAATAAACCCTATATACATGTACGTACATTTATATTGGACTTTATTTTGGCATTTATGCATATTGCAGATTTGGCTCATTGTGATTGGCCAACACGTTGCAAACTCTTGGGGAGGCACTATTGTGAAAGGTCCGTATTCCAACAATAAGTGAAACTGAAAGAAGCTTAGAAACTTCTGTTTACATGTACACGTGTACATAGCCATTTTTGGCTAACTCTGATTTCCACCTGCTTTGCATTAGAAACACCCTGTCTGCTACTCCAGCTCTGGCCACTGCTGTGGTTTCCCCTGATTATAGACTGTGAACACAGTATTGGGAAATGTTGACTTAAATGATAGCCACAGGTTTTCTGATATAGCACAATGGGTTTGTAAGGGGTACATTCTGATTATACAGTCTTCATCAGGAGGTTGTAGCCATTTTAGATGCTTTGTGTAGCATTCAAATTTGACAGTCTTTACTGAAAGGTTTAGCTTCATGTACGTGTATGACTACAATGTTACCTTTTGCATACGTATCACTTTCACTTGCGGGGATAGATGGGGAAATATGGGAACGATCAAATGCTAAAATGGCATCTCTTAATATGTGAAAGTTTGTCAAACAAAGAGAACTGGCATAGGCAACTGAACACATCATCACATTTCTTATGGTCAGAATTTTTTTAACCGAAAAATCTGCTCTTTGATAATTGTATGTCTTATTTAGAATTTCAGCCGTCGGCTCTTTTTTGGAGACAGGACTTGCCAAATTTCTTTTAAGAATTCAAAATTTGTTACACTAAAACTTAAGAACATGGATTAGAGAAATCCATGCTCTTACAACTTTCTGATGAAGATTAAATGACCAAACAAGCTCTGGGTGTATACATGTTGGTTGCTGGTGTACATGTACATGTATGATGGCTATTATTGATGAGGTACCGTACTGTGATAAGTAGCAAGACTCAGCTGGTAATTTCATTTCCCACATTTATCAGCCCATGTGCAACAACTGATAAAACATCTTTCCATATCATCTTGCAGTGGAGTCTGCTCTGCATTGCAATGTCCGGTATCTGACGCCAACTTTGACTGCTTTCCATATTGCTGCATCTCATGTTCGTTGTCTAATCATAGTCCTTTCTCAAATATTATCATTTCATTACTTGACAAAGCAACAGATAAATCCAAACTTGAAAGTATTCTGGATTCTACAAAGATGCATGTCCTCCAAACTGCAAAACTCATACATTTACACACTATCTTGCCTGCATTGTTCACCAGAATTCGTGCCTTCACATCTGTATCATGCCCTATCTCCTGAAGAATTGGTATTTCTAAAAATTTCTAAAATACGTTCACTTTGACCAATGTAGTGATAGTCAGACTTCAGATAGAATTTAAATGTAAAACATTTAAACAAGCCCCAGAGACAAGGAAATAAACTGCACAGAAGTAAATCATAGAAAGGAATGAGCCTCCAGCTGGACCAAGAGAGGGTGCTATTTGGACCAACAGAGGTTCCTTTGGTACTAACTGCACATTGCTGGTTCACGAATGACAAGGAAACACTAGTGTTGCAGTCACAACGCCACTAACAAAATGAACAATCTGACCAACACAGCTCTTTTCAACCAATGAGGGGGTGCTTCTGCTCGAGGTGGGTTGCATAATCACTGAAAATTGTCTCCAACTCCAGGGGTCCAATTTGGTGCCAAAAAGAAGCATGGGACTGCAGTCTACCAATCAAGTTGAGGCCATTATCTGATTATGGCCAAACTACATGTAGCCAGTGTGATCTTGTTCCAAAGTCCTGGTCAAGTATGCAGAAGCACTGCTTCATAGTAGTGGCCAGGATGGTGCCATCCACAAAGGAGAACCTTTCCCCAAATGAGGCATTGCCCCATGTGAGCTCCCAGAGATCAGTTAGACTGCAGTAGAAGCCAGCTCAGGATGATGTACGTACATGCATGTAATGGCCTGCAAGTTTAAGAGGGCGTTCCTGGATCTTTTCTGTCACTGTAAAGGTCCTCATTCCTCATCTGATCCTGTCACAAGATGTTCAGGGCCATACACAGCATCCTAGTGTAGCACCTACCTGTATTGAGAGTCTCCTACATCTTATAATAGTTGTGAGGGTGTAAGTCTCCATTCCATAGAGAAATACTGCCCCTACCATGGTCACAAACGGTGACCTTTTAAAGTTATTGTTGAGCGCTAATGACCAGACTTTGATCCTGCTGTGGAGCAGCACTGAGCACTGGCCACACGTGTCCTCTTTGGGTCTTGGGGTCTTTACCACTGGAGTTGATCCTAGCTTCAAGGTACTTGTAATCAGGTTCATCCTTGGGAGTTGTACCATCCTTTGTGTGGACTGCTGTGTCATCAGTGTTATGTTCTTTGTGTTCGGCCAGAGGCCAAAGGTCACGGATAGTGTTAGGCACCTTGCACAAGCCAGTGAATGTGATTAATGTTCAGAGATGTTTATGCTTGATGCCTTCAGTAATTCTCCTTTTCAGTCTACCTGATGCTTTATTTCTTGATTGCTTTCAGTTTGCTCATAATTGGCATGGTTTATATTGACGTTTACATGTGTACAGGACTACCAACAAGGCAACATTGTTCATTCAACATTTGAGTGGTAAATACACTAGTTATCCACTGCAGCTTGCTTTGATGTGCGCTGTTGCCTTGCTGGATATCTTTTCCTCCAGTGCCCAAATTGTTGTCTTCAGAGGGAAGAGGATGACTAGAGGATCCGGGTCAAAATATCAAGTTCTAATTTACCAGTTCTTTTTAGAACCACACAGGTTCCAAAAGAGATAGTTCCTTACATATTGTACATCTGCCAGCCTCCTACAGAAATCAGTAAGCCTTATTATGTATGCAAGTAACCCCCAGAATTGGACATGCACAGTTGATAAGTGCCAGCTAAAGCAAACATGTACGTGATATTCCTAGAAACCTGCACAGCACATGCATTGTTTCTAAACCCATACTGGCTTTCATGTGCTGTCCATACAAGTCATTAATTGTTTTTGCAGAGAGTTCATTCCAAGGGAATTGAATGGCATTTTCAGCTGAACGTTCCCAGTAGTTAATTAGTGACTCTCTTCTGAAGTCATTCCTTTTTCTGTTGAACTACATGTAAGAACAGCCATAGTGTTTTAAGATAATACATTCAAGATGCATGTAAGAATTACGTATACATGTACAGCATAAGTACCTACATGTACATGCAAATGGCAAGATTTGCAGTTTAGTCAATTACAAGCCAATCATAATTCATGCCACAAAAAGTGACGTGGAATTAAAAGAATTCAAGGGATCGTTCCACATAGCTCATTTAATTAGTTTCAATGTGAGACAAGACAATTTGTATGGCTAGTAGTCTTGGGAATAATCTGTGATGGCTGTGTGACTGTTGATCTAGAGAGCCAAGCATTTGTTTTTATTTTTATTTTCTGACCTTAATCAAGTGCAGAAGAAATGGCAAGCTGCTTGTGACGGAGAAGAGAAGCAGTCTATGGAGATGTTCAGTCATATCAGCCTCCTCATGCTGGATAGCCTACTGAAATGTATCTTCAGTGTTGAGAGTAATTGTCAAACGTAAGACAACAGTAACCTGTGCAGGATGGGATGACCTGTTTAAAAGCACCCCATGGAGATACTGAAACCAGCCCGTGAAATTATTAGAAATTCAAAACTATCAATTTAAAAGTTTTAAGATGAGTGTATGATTGAGGTTTCATTGCCAAGTGTAGGAACTTGCAAGGACAAAAGAAAATAAACTTGTCATGCTGCATTGCTGCATTGTGCTCACCACACTTTCAGGAGAAAGAGAAACCATCTAGCCCCCCTCCTCTTCAAAACACATAATCTCTTGGGGGAGGGGAGGTGGCCCCTCACTCTTGCCAGGTTCTAAAGTAGTACGCCAAGCAAGACTATACATCTTGGTAAACATACAATTTTTTGTCCACTGTAGACATCTTAACCCCCCCTCCCCCTTTCTATAAGTCATTTCACACTGCATGCACATGTAGTTGGTTCATGACATTTTGAATACACTGCTTTTAGCCACTTCATGCCGGGGCATTTTTCAATGTTGATGATGCTGGGCCGGCATGACTATCATTTTTTCCGTTTTCAAAATCCTTAAAAAATTCATTATTTCATTTAACTGTCATTTATAGCCGCACAAAGTAATCTTTAGGC